AAAAATGAATAATTTCTGTATGGTAAGAGATGATAATATGAATTCTGTAATGTATGAGATTTATGGTGGAGATAAATTATAAGTTATGAATCGTATGAAAACTGTGAAGTTATTGTAGATGAAAAATCTGGAAAATCTCAAAGTCTTTGCTTGGTAATGCACGCTCGTCATCGAACGGTCTTATACCGTTCGGTTTCCCTTGAAAATAACTTAGAATAAGAATTCTTTCATTTGGAAAGGATCCTGATTAAGAACGAGCGTCCCTTGTGTGAAGGGTTAGGTTTGAGCGTTCGGCTCAGCCTAGCGTGTCCAACGGTTGAAATAATTGAAGTATATTAGTAACGCTCGGTTTTATATTCCAGCGTTCGTTATAGGTAGCGCTTAGTCTTATACTGAGCGTTCGTCCAAATGAGCGCTCGGTCTTATATCGAGCGTCCGTTCTATTTAGTGCTCGGTCATTTACCTAGCGTTCGTCCTAAGCAGTGTTCGGTTTTATAACTGAACGCTCGTCCTTATCATTGATTCCTGAGCGAACGTAAATAGCGTTCGTCCAAATTATTAATTGACGTTCGGTCATTGACTGGCAGTGTTGTCTTCTGAATTAAATCATACTCTGTTGTTTATCTAAATAATTTTGTAATGTATTTATCCTTTTGATTCAACCTAGAGTCTTTATACTTAAAATTTTTCTAAGTATTATTCAGATCTTTTAGAATCAATTCATTTAACTTATTTAAATACTCATAACGTCCGTTAGAGGACAAGGGTTCGTTTCTTTTGTTCAGAAACGTGTAGTCAATGTACTGTAATACGTTCGTCCTTATTTATTAAAGGATGAACGCTCGTTAATTTATGAAAGTGGAACACAGAATGAAAATGTGAATAAGAGAACTGGTTAATGTGTGCGGATGGTATTTTGAGTGAATTATTGGAAGTGGATTTTGAACGAGCGTTCCAAGGAGGAACGTCTCCATGATTTGAATATGAGAAATTATGTAGTATGACCATGGTAAAGCTGCTGATGGCTGTTCATCCTGATATTCCGTGAGTGCTCGTCCTCATGTAGAGGGGAGTAGGTCATGCGTGGGAATGGCAGGAGGCCCTAGTCCTATTGAGTACTTTGGACTGATAGGGTTAACCTCGGGTGGCAGCTGATGGACGTTTCCAGTTACTACATCACCCGGGTGCAAGAACGCCTGTAGATACATGGATTCATACAGTCCGGACGGTCGTTATTTATGAGAATTTGGATGAGTTATTCTATGCTTTGATATGTTGTTATGTGTATGGTTTTGTTGATTTTATAAGTTAGATTTTATATTGGGTGTATGAATTAAATTACCTAAGCTTACCCTTGCAATTCCTTGTGTTGTCTACTGTTGTTGTACGTTCGTCTTGTCAATGCAATGATCATCCGTGTGGATGTGAGCAGACGGAGAGGCGCCACTTGAAGAAATGCTGGAAGAAGAAAATTTGGAAGACTCCAATCTTGTTGAAGTAGAGGTTAAAGCCGAGCCCTAGAGCGCTCGTTCAGTAGTAGCTGTTAGTGTTTTTGGATTGTATTTTGGGGACGTTCGATTATTTAATTTTGTAAAACCGTTCGTCCAGAGCTTGATATTTTGTAGATAGATTCCGAACCCTGTATATCTCGTACGTTCGGCTTCTAATAGCTGTTATGTTTAAGACTGCACTGTTAATTCTGTAAATGTGATTAGTTTTAATTAATGGTAATTGCTATTTATTGGGATGTTACATGTTTCATTAGTTTGGTCGTCTCAACGAGAAAAGAGCTATTTTTTAGGTTGGTGCTAATAGTTCCAGGGCGGACAATATTAAAAATACCATTGTTAGAAGTTCTAACAAAGATGCATTGGGCAAGTAATGCGTAATTTTCCTTTGTTGTGCAATTTTGATGGAAAACTATTGAAAAATATTTTCTTGAATGCGATGCCGAACAACCATCCTATGCTGCCAGTTATATAGCTCTGTCGACAAATAGATGATCTAGAAGTTTGATTTAAAAGTGTTGCTGAGTCAGTTAAAAGTGTACATATTAAGAAAAGTGCACTCGAGGATAAATCTTGAATAAATATTGAATAACATATTTATCTCAGGTGTGTCATTGGTCCAGTACTTTGTTCCTGAATAAATCTTTTGAATAATATACTATTGAATAAAATTATTCAATAATAATAAATAACTTTATAACTTTAGAATGGTTATATAGAAAACAGTTATATGTTTGAACAAAGCATAATGCTCGCGAACGGTGAAGCTGGTTGGTTTGTGGTGAAATTATTTGCTGCACCGATCCAGGCCAATAGATAGGGTTGATAGACGTAGTGATACCGAAACCTGGCTCCTTGCGATTTTCGTGGAATGCCACTCGACTCCATGGTAGGTGTCAAAATGTTTCCGACAGGATTTAATTCCTTAATCCAAAACATTCAAAGTTATCCGTTTCATGATCCAGTTGCGTTATTTTCTCTCTTCTCCTTGTCCTAGCCGCGGGAGATGGTGCCTGCAGAAGACACTGCTCAAGTCAGATATGTTTTATAAAGAGGTCTATATTTTGTTAGGATAAAAAATAATATCTGGACCTTAACCCTATATTTATAAAGCTTATGACAATCAAACTCATTAATTCATACTTGATATGACAGTAAATCCAATAATACTTGCTAATATACCTGCTAATTGTCCATTACTACCATATTCTTGTATAATATGACATGTCAATTATTCATAAATAGCGTATATTCGCATTTAATATGCCTATTAAACGTATTAATTGACCATTAATTTTACTTTTTATGATTAGTTTGTCTGACAGTATAGTGTGTGTATATATATATATATATATATGATCTAATTTCTATCGCTGCAGATGGTTCCAAACGAAAGCCAACTCAATTATTTGTCTCGGTTATTCATTGATTCGTTCCTAGATAATCTGAATTGTATTTTTCTAGGCATATGTATGGATGATAACATGCTGTCTTATTCTTTAGTTTATCACGATTAGGATAAGATCCTGGTTAAACTAGATTTTCGAGTGGCTGGATTCTTGTGATTTTAGTAGTAGGGATGTGTACATCAATAAAAGGATTTGAAGTACATTGTTTTTCTGCAGTATTATCAGTAACAATGTCTGCTTGTGCTTAATTTCACTCTATCTTTAGAATAGCTTGTTAGAGTTGCAGTAACACTCGTTGACCAAACTTCGTTAGAAAAAGAAAATTCCTTTTACTTTATTTAATACTTGATCAATTAGCCATTTTTACAATGAATTCTCACAAAGCAATTAATACAAATTTGTTTGGTCTCTACTACCATGATACAAAGTTATTAATATAATGAAGAAGGCTGAAATGGTTATTAAGCTTTCTCAACCGCGTTCCAGAAGCCCGTGCATTTTTTAAGTTCCATTTATATGTCCAAATCTAGTTGGGTCTTACTAATATTTTTTCTTAAGATCAGGTATTAGGAAGAGCCAACGGCTACCCAACAGGCTAAAAGCACGTAATTGTAAACATAGGCTGTTGCCTCTGATACCCCATCAAAAGCTTCAGGAATTGTTTACTGTGTTCAGGAAAATAAATTCCGGTAATTATAGGGTGCAGGAAGCAATTTGGTAAGGTGTAAACGTATCATATGTGAAAACTTTCTTAGTCATTGAGTTTTATTCTTCCTGCACCTCGTAATTTCTAGCTGCACCCTCACACATTTTTAAAATGAACATTTCATCTTTTGTAACTTCTAACTTACCTGTTTTGAAAATCTTCCAAAACAAGCGTTTTGGAATTATATAGAACATGATTTCTAAAATAATATTTTTAAACAATTTTTATTTCTAATATATGTTTTTGTTAGAATGTGTTTTTGAAACACATAAACAATATATAAAATAAAATTCTAAATAACAAGAGAAATTCATAAATAAAAGTTGAACAGCCAATTACATAAATAAATTTAAAACATAAATAATATGTAAACATATATTTAAAAATAAAAAATAATTTTGAATCAGATAATCAGGTCTTCTGTTAACAGCCTCTTAATGAATTAAAAATGAAAATAAAAAAGAAAAGAAGGAAACATGTGAAATAAATGAGTGGATTCCACAATAAAAAGGCAGAACAGGAATCACGTGGCAGGGGTCCACCTTATCTTTTTGTTCATAGATCGTAGGCTGTCCAACATCCTCAGCCAACCAGATCCTTATAATTTGACTTGAATGCTGTGCATAACGTGAAGGTAAACACATAACTGAGAATAGGTGGGAGCGAGGGAGGGGACAAAACCAAACCCAGTTAACATAAACTGCAAACATTCACATCATCATTAGGCAAGCTGCCAACAAACATTAAAGTCACATTTTTTTTAACAAAATTGGGATCATATAAACATCTATGTTATTTCTTCTCCCTATCAAATTTCCAACTATTTTCTCATGCATATAATACACATATAAGAAATTTTAAAAACCTGACAAAGACACATAATAATAAAACTCTTATTATTCCTATATCAGATTCAATCTTGCCGGAGTGAATTGGGTTCCCCGTGTCCTGTGCGTTGTGACCGAGGCCAATGAACAAGCAAGCCGATTGTTGTTGCTGATTCCTGAAACGACTTCAGCTTCTGCTCTTGCACTTGTCCACGGCTCTTGGCGCTGTGAAGTTGGAATAAAAATGCATGTAAGATAATATCTTTCATGTTGTTATGAGGATAAGGATTACGATGATGACTAACCGAGGCCAATTGCTTCAGAAGCCTTCATTATGCGGAGGCGCTTGCATGTTTGAACGAACATTCTGTGAAATTGGTGAGTGAGTCAGTGAAAATGGAGAAATTATTAATGTAAGAAAAAGAAAAGTAAGTGAAGGAATGAGACTGACTCCCAGGGAACATCACCGACGAGCATCCAGTCTCCGTCCTTGTCTTCATATGTGGGTACATAATCAGAGCCATTCAAAAGGTCTATCAATTTGGTCCCCTGGGACCCACACTTCTGAATTGTAAAGGAACTGAACATCTTGGCCAGCGCTTCTGACAGCTCTTGGTAGCTCTTGTACAACCTTATGTCCACCTTCCGTAGATACGGTGCACCATCCATGCTCACCTTCACAAACGCTGCTCCTCCACCACTCTTCTCACCCTCTTCATTGCCACTGCTCCTTTGATGAACATTCACTATGTTCTTCCTGAATGATCTCACTGGTGGCCAACCCACCACCTGTGCCCTGCCAATCGTTTTTCAACCATTTCTTTAAATATTCTCAATACTACTTTTTTTATTCAACGCAAATAAAGTAAGATTCCCTCTGTCTTGTCCTTTTCCTCTGTCTACCCGACAACCAACCGTGTCATCCGCTAAACTTCATCTTTGCTTCCCTCTTCAGCACAACACTTTTTCCTCCTTTTTTCACATCCTACCTTTTCACTTTTCATAATTACTTAACTACCCCTAAGGATACCTTTTAACATTACCAATCAGTTTTCGTTTTAATGCAGTGCAATACAAGGCAAGTTTCAACACTCTTCTTCTCCCAACTTGATTCATTTCATTATTAACGAAATTCAGATTCTTTTATAATCAAGTTTTGAATATTGATTTACTTACAATCAAATTCAAACACCGTGTTTAAAATATTCCATTAAAATAACAAGTTGGGTGAGTAAAGTTAGCCAGTGATCAGAACTAAGAAATATACTAGTTAATTACTCGGCCAGCAGCTACGACCTTCAACCGGATTCATTCTTCTAAGTAACTTGTACCTGCATCTTTCTATATTATCTTTTCAATTCATACTTTAATCGATCATTTGTTTTTTTCTTCCTCTCCAAATCTAAACTCTGTAAACAAGGCATAGATAACTTCCCTATTCTGCTAAGTTAATTCTCTGTATAACAGTTTCACAGATTGAACGAAATCTATTGATCTGATTTCCTTTTACAAACAACTGAAAGATGCTTTTTTTAATATGCTATATTACCCTTTCCATGTCTCAGACAAGATCCATATTGCATACCTAACGGGCTATACATCAAAGAACAGATAAAAAAAAACAAACAGGGGAAATAAAAAGCCACAGCAAAGCAGAAAATAGATTGATCGATTCTTCTCCCAAACTACAACTCCATACCAATAAAATAAAACAAACCAAGTTTGGTGTGGAAACAAAATAAATAACGAAAGTCGACGTATATTTTAAAGAGAAAGAAAAAAAAAACTCACTTTGCAGGTGGCTTTGCTGGGTCGTTAGCCCGAGGAGGAGGTTCAACTGCTGTAGTTTTCTCTTTGGGGTTCTCTGTAGCCGGTGACACCGAGGCAGAGTCGTTATTGGAAGAAAGATTGAGCTTTAAATCAACAGAAGCAGTTTCAGAGAAGCCTCTCTTGCCACCACTGCCCTTCAGAGTTAACTCGCCATGATCAGTTGCAGAGGCACCAGGGAGGCCGAGTCGCAACTCGGTTTCTTCGAAGTTAATCATGTTGCAGTAGTTGTTGTAGTTGTTGTAGTTGTTGTCCTCTTGTTGTGCGTCCTGAAGCAGAAGATAAGAGAAAAAGAAGAGAAAGAGAGAAACAGAGGGCGTGCGTGTGAAGGGTATCCCTTTCTCAGGTGATGTTGGGAAAGTGAAGTCTCTGCTGAAAGCGAAACAGAAAGAGAGGGTTTGGGAAGTGGAAGAAAGAAGAGGTGTCGGATGCAGGGTAGTTTTGGTGATATATCGGGTGAGGGAAGGGGAGGGTTCAGATGGTGACACGTGTGGGGTTAAGCGCTGTTGGATGATCCGTGGGTTGTCGGGTCAGTGACGTCAGGAGTGATGTGTGACCGAATGATTGTGGTGTGGTTAGTGGACATCCCACTTTCCCTTTTTGCCCTTCCTTTACCTTATTTCAAGTATAAAAAAAATTCTTTTAATTTAATTTTAAATCTAAATAAACTAATATGAATTTAATTGGTAGAGGGAATCTTTTTTTCATTATTGTAGTGCTCCTTTTTTATGAGCATGCCATTTTGTTTCGAGGTTTTAGAATTATTCTAACAAAAATCACAATCAGCATAAAAATCGATGGGGTTTAGAATTAGGGATCGTGTGTGTATCTCATTATCGTGACCAGCTTTCATCTCGCGGCGAGGGGTCCAACAACATTAAATTTTTCGTTGTCTTCGGTTTCATATACATGGGTTAAACAGTTCGTACGAAAAAACAAACAAGGTTAAACAGTTTTGTATGTTTGTCTGTTTTTGAAATTAGGCAGTGTGAAAGTTTACTAGCCGTCGAATTTTGTTGACAGAGAAAGAGGGTGTGGTGAAAGAAAGAAAAAGGATAAAAGTGAGGTAACAAAAAATCACTTCTGCCAGAAGAGTGCTTTGAAATGGGTAACTTGTGAGATTGGTTTGTCGAAAAGTGTAAAGACATAAGTGGTGTGATAAAGTTTGTAGAAATGATTAAAGATTGGGAAAGGCAGAAGCGAAGCGACATTTTGATGAGATTAGGATAAGAGCTTCTTTTATTCAGACATTGAACTAACCATGTCCGCCGACTCACCAACCACTAGCAGAAAAGCAACAAAGCACACCAAATTTTTAAAAATTTATTTCAGAGTAAATGCAATCATTTTCCTCCACATAACCTAAGTTTCATTAAATTCATAGTGGAGTAAGAATTCATTCAATAATATTATTCGGAGTTCTTATGGTCATTTTAATCAAACAGAGGGAATCTTCGTAGTTGTCGTTCAAGGAATTGGGATGATGGCGTGATCGATACACATAATAATAGATTTTTTTTCTCGAAGATAATAATAAAAATAAATCTGATAATTTTTAATTTACATAAAAAATTATAAGTATGTAAAGGTTTTTTTAGTAGAGGCCCATTCAATGAACCTTTTATGAGGTGTTTGACCCTAAACACGGATAGTAATGATATTCTTAAACTGAAATAAATAAAAAAACTAAAAATAATATATTAAAAGTAAGTCACTTTAATTTTTAATGTAAATGTTGCCATCCACATTCAGTTCAATAAATAAAGAACTGACAAAGAGGGCCCATTGGACCCCTTGGGCCCATTCTATGCTAGCAACCAATCCCGGCAATTCACTATTTACACCCTCGTGTGGTACGAAATTGACCACATCCATTCTACTAACTTGTAAGACATTGGTCCTACGTTAGTGACTCTTTTGGCCCCTAATCCCTCCTTCAATGCCTGTATGTCCTAGTACTATCATCACTGTTACTATTTCATAGGTACCATTATTGAACCACACGTATCACATTAATATTTTGAGAGTGCTAACCAACATTTTTCTTTTCAATTTTATAAGAATGTTAAATATTTTTTAGTAAGATTTGAATTTTTTTTTAAAAGATTTTTACTTTACAAAAACATGAATTTCAATTGCTTCATTAAAGCGTGCTAACGACCTTTTTCTCTAATTATAACATTAATAAAAAAATTGCTAACTTGTCAAGTGTTTTGACCTTTGATAATAAGACAAGAGAGATGGAAGATAAACCTTAAATACTACTTTAATATCGAAGAGCTATCAAACACGATTCCTTAACCTTTATTAACTATTTCTTCATTTAATAATTTTATAAACAACGTAATTATAACCAATCATCTAATTTTTAAATTACAGATTTTAGATAATAATGGCATTTCCAGACTTTAAAGCTCGAAATGGTTGAGGAATCGTAGAAGCAAAAAACTAAGTTACCTAATGCCTTGCTTTGTTTGGTGTTCATTTTATTGGAAAACAGAAAATAAATAAAGTTTTTATATTAAACAAAAATGGTTTTGTGTGTCAAGGAGACAAAACGTGAAGTTGGTTGACTTATTCGTGTTATATTTGTCTTAAATTGTAAATATAAAATTTCAGAAACACTTAAAAAATTCAATTTACCTTGAAAATTCTTTTATTTTTTTTAACATTGTTCATGACTTTACGACAAATCATCTTGTGGAATGAGATCAACAATTCAATCGTTGTATGAATTTTTGAGTTTTTTGTACTCCTTTTGAAACGTCCAAGATGAATTATAATTTTTAATTCAAAAAGTGGTTGGGGATAGGTAAACAATCACTTGTATAATAAGTTTTCTCAAAAGTGGAAAAATTATAGTAAATTAATTCAAACATTTAGCAGTGTTTTAGAATACTTTTTATTTTAATCTTTAAAAAATCAAGTTATTATTTTTTATGGGGTGGAGGAAGAAATTTGATGGGTCTAAGAAGTAACAGCCTCAAAAGTTTATTGCCAAAATTTACCCGAAAAAACTAGATTTCGATCCATTATTGAATTCTGCTTGCTGTGCACTAAATAGGCCGTTGGGCCTAAAACAGAAAACTGTAGGGTGTTGCTCCCTCCACCACCACCCTATACTTCTTCCACCTCTCCACATTATTTTAAATACAATTATATCCTTAAGTTAAAAAGATTTTTACTTTTATCCTATTTTAAATAATTTGAAACTCTAATTTTACTTTTCCAGCGCCCACCCACGAAACTCTCTTTCCCTTTCCCCATTTTGGTTTCACCTCCCCACCTCCCGCACTTCCATTCCTTTTTCTTCCTAGTTTTTTTTTTTGTTTGGAAGCTTCCATTGTCGTCGTGGTGTGAAGGAGCGTCGCCGCCGTGGTGTGGAGGAACATTGAGGAGCGTCCAGAGCATCAACCAACGTGAGGAAGTATACATCAATGGAGGTGACATCCTTCAACGGATGTCCCCTAATAAAACAAACTCTAAAATAAAAAACGTAACCTTTAAACGAAGGTGACATCTTCAACAGATGTCAACATCCGTTTAAGGTAAAACGGATATGTTGACATCCGTTGAAGGATGTCACCTTCGTTTACGTTTTTTATTTTAGGGTTTTATTTCAAGGTTTATTCGAATACGAGGAAGCACGACACACACTGCACCACTCCACACATTGCACCACGAGAGGGAGACTACTTGATAATTTTTTCCACCACCACCAACCTTTGCAACTTGTAGTATCTCACAACGACGAAAGAAAGAGAGGAAGAAATATAATGTTAAAATGAAAGAAAAGTATTTTACTCATGTACGATACTAGAATAGGTTATTAGTGAAATAGGATGTGAATGTGTAAAATTAAAAAATAATAACTCTAAAAATAAATTTTTACTGAAGGACAAAATAGTAAAGGGGAGGTGAAGGGAGAAAGGTGTGGTGGTGGAGGGAGCAACACCCAAAATTGTAACAACAAACACAGCGCGCATTTGCTCACAATAGAATTTCATATGTAAGTTTCATCTTACACCTCCAATATCTTCACCTGCACCTCCAAAAATTACAATTTTAACCTTCTAACATCTTATCATGCACTTTTAACTTTTTCAAAAATTTCATTTTGATTGTTTATACATCTTTAACACTGCATCTCTCTAACAAATTTCTAAAACTATGTTTTTTATTTATAATTTAATAACTATTTAATTTAATTTCAAAATCTAAATTAATTTAATACTTTTTCATATTTTAATAATTATTAAAATATAATTTGTATTACTATAATAATTATATTAAAAAGATTAAAATTAAAATAATTAAAATAAAAGTAATAAAAAAAACAAAAAACAATAATATAAAATCTAATTTAATATATATAAAAATATTAAATTATATTAAAATATTAAATTAAATTAAATTTAAAAAGAAATAAAATATCGGATAACATACTCATCGGATTTCCAATCACGAAAAGAAAATTTTTATAAATTTCTTTTTTATTTATAATTTAGTAATTATTTAAATTAATGTAAAAATTTAATATTATTTAATATATTTTATATTTAAATAATTATTAAAATATAATTTATATTATTATAATAATAATGTTAAAAAAATTAAAATTAAAGTAATAATAATGAAGAAATCTAAAAATTTTGAAATCTTATTTCATTAGTTTAATATTTTAATATAATTTAATATATTTATATATATTAAATCAGATTTTATATTATTATTTTTATTATTTTTGTTTCTTTATTTTTATTATTATTACTCCTATTTTAATTATTTTAATTTTAACTTTTTTAATATAACTTTAATAATACAAATTATATTTTAATAATTATTAAAATATGAAAATAGATTAAATAATATTAGATTTTTAAATTAAATTACATATTTATTAAATTATTAATTAGAAATAAAATTTTAAATTCTTTTATTCAAAAAGAGTGTAGAATTAAAGAGGTGCAGGATTACTTTAGTAAAAAAGAGAAAAAGTTAAAAAAAATATTTACTAAGGTTAGGAAATGATTTTTTTTGAAAAAGTTAGAAGTACAGGATGGGATGATATGTTAAAAAATTAGAAGTGTAACTTTTAAAAGTGTAGGATAAGATGTTGAAGATGTAGGATAAAAGACCTTCGAATTGTTGAATTGTGATGTAATTAAACAAGTATTTGTGAACATTATTTTGATAATTGATTATATGTTATAATAGAATATAATAATTTTTTTTTTGGGTAAGATAACCGTAAATTATTATTTTTCAGATTCATAAAAGTTGCATTATGAATAGTTTCCCACTTTTTCGATTATTTAACAAAATGTCTATCTCAAATTTTTCAGATTTATTTTTACCCATTCGTTATATTCCAGTAGAGAATTGAAAGTGATTAGTTCATATTTAGAAATGAGATAGATTTACAAAATTATGTAAAACAGTGATAGTTTTCCATTTCGAAACGAAGAATTTGCATTAGCTTTTGGAGGTGATGTCAAATCACACACATATTCTTTCGGATTTTAAAATAAATATTTTTCTCCGTTATCATTATGGTAAAAGACATATTCACATCTTCTTTACGTTTTAAATATGCATCCACTTTTCTTATATATATTTAATAAATAAGATTAATTTTTTATTTCATCTAAAACCGGTTTATTCGCTAAATTTTTCAATGATTCTCTATTAAAAAAATTAGTTATTTAATAAAAATATATGTAGAGTGATTACTTTATTAAAAACATAAGAGAACATACTATCATTTATTAACAATATGAGAAAAGTAAATAATTATTTAAAATTTTGTAAATGTCATTTTATTAAGAAAAATATAAGTCTGGTCTAAAATTAAAATTGAGATGAGTATCATTTGATATAATATCTGGAAAAATACATCGATAAAATTTATCTTCTCGAAACAATTTTTTTTTTCTACGTTCCTTTTGAGACAAATTTTTTGTTACGTGAATTGATATTTGATACGATTCTAGGATGTCGAGGGTGAAATGAAACACAGTAAATTCTATTGTAGCATTTTGTTGATGAATATTATATAAGTAAGAAGACAAGGTATTGTTGAGTAAATTAGCAAAGTTGTCATTTTCCACTTTCTGAAGAAGCAGTCGGTTGAGTAATGTGGCACCTAATTTTATGGTGGAATTCACTTGTTTTAGAAGCAAACAAAACTCAATATGTCTTTATTATTTTAAAACAGCTTTAGCTTTTCCAATTATCAGATGCTTCCAAACAGCTTTACAAGGTAAATAACCATATTTTAATTCAAGTTGTATTAAAGTTTTCTCCACATAAATCATGCCTACCCATCCTTTCCTTTTAAATGGCCCCACTTCCCACTCACTAAAATTCAAAATACTAAGAAAAGAGCTTCCACTAAAAATATTTGGTCATCCACCACCAACCCCACCACAGATATTAGGAAGAAAAACATCAATAAGGCCATTGAAAATGTTCATCTTCACTGTGACAAGGACATGCTGTGCACTTCTGGTTTTACACAAGAGGAAAAGCAATTACTCCTTCTTTGACAGAACTTGAGAAGAGTGAACAGCTGCATCGACTACATATCCTTCTCCATCCAATCACAGAATTATATAAGAAAGTATAATACCCTTGTCATAAAGGAGGAAGAAATGGGACCAAATGTGGCTAAACAAAGTTATGTAAAGTCTGTCACCACACTTTTCTTCCGTTCTATCAGTGACTGTTTGATTCAGGCTTGATCACTGTTGATGATTCTGATTGAGGCATACGAAAAATGGCCGAGGCTAGAGATATGGGCATGATGCAAAGTGCCTTGGACTGAAGAAATTGCATAGCTGCACCCACATCTTCTTCCATAAGTTTAGCAACTTGTTGTTCTGTACCGTCATTGGACCACTTGTCCCAGGCTTGCTCATTGGATCCACCTTCTATGTCCTCCCCTTGCTGATAGGATCAATAAAACTATTGTAAGAACCAAAATAGAAAAATGTGTATAAAGTTATGGGAATAACACCATAAAAATACAAAGTAGACTTAAAAACAATTGACATAAATTTAAATGTGTAGTGCGCAGTGATATGATTGCTATGATGTTATCTCATATCCCGGTTTAGATACGTTCCGTGGTACAAAAATTTGCAAGTGGTGCTTGAAGAAAATAAAGTAAAAGTAGATTGAAATGGTAAAAAAGGTATGAAACTAAAAAAGAAGAAGAAAAGTAGCATTTCAAACAGCTTTCGAGTATTTATCACCTCCACTGCAGAAAGGGGAACATCAGCCACAAGTTGAGCAACTGCACCAGCTCCCCCCAGTCTACTCATGCTCAGGACCTGTTTCAAAATATCAATAAAATTAAATTATATGAAAAGGACAGAAGGTTTATTAATCTGCTTTCTTTAGATGATTGGTAAAAAGAAATTATGTTATGCAGATTAAAAAAATCTGGTAGACATCTCTTGTTTTGCAATGGGAAGATCACACGGAGAAATGCGTCTACCATGCACACACACACTCCATATAGATGAGTATGAATATTTCACAGTATTTAGTATTTAGCATAACATGTACACTACTGGTACGGATAGTCAACAATTTGAAACAAGTTTCTCAAAAATAAAATCAAGTAAAGCTTTATCATGTGCCTGAGACTGATTTCAAAAGAAATCAACGGAAGTTCAACTTAACTTTTCTAAAGGAAGAAATTTTGAATATAGATTAAGAATGGAAACGAAGAAAGTTTTATTGGAATACACATTATTTAAGAGCTTCCATACCTTAACCTGGAGCCTTAGAAACTTGACATAATCCACAATTTCATCAAGCATCGCCGCTCTGTCCGTCTGCAACCAAAAAAGGATGCATCTTATCAAGTACAAAACCGTATATTTTACTTTCTCAACCCATTATTTTGAAGGCTTTAGAAGCATCCATCCTTGTGTACGCTATTAGAAAGTTTTAACATAATTGTTATTTATAAAATGGAAGTTTCTTAGGAAACACAAAGAAATGATGACTTCTAAATGAAGAGAAAAAATATAAATAGTATGTTAATCCGAAAATATAAGCATACAAATCACAATCCAAGAGTGTGAATAACGGTGAAATTGCATAGCAAATTTGTTAGTAAATCCAAACCTTATTGATGCTGGGAACTAACTCCTGCAATGCCTTCATTCTTTCGGCAATTCTTTCGCGACGCAACTACATCCAACACAAATGAACAAAAAAGATGAATTGTTATAGACGGATAAGACAAAGGAATCTAGTGAGCATATATTAATATCACTAATAAAACAATCTTGTTTGCAGTGAATGGGCTCCTTTTGGTTGTTATTATGTGAATATTGAAGCATGTAAGTTCTAAGAATAAGTGTGTTCTTAATTAATTACCCGTTCAGCGATACTGTGTGGATCTGTGGCTTGCCCTCTTCTTGCTCTCACACGAGGACGAATGCCAGGTGCTTGTTGGGTACCACTCATAGACGCTGGACCTCCACCTCCCTGCCCTTGAAACGCCTGCAATTAGCATGATCATTACCTAAATAACATCACAGGGTAACTCAATAAACCTAATCGAATATTACCTTGATTATCACCGTTACCATGTACAGGAATATTGATAGTTATTGAGTAATTATTTCAGAAAGTTGCAACTTGTGGCATAGTATATTCATCCAATCCACAATCTTAAACTAAAACCGAAGATGTCTGTTTTATGCATGCAGGCACACCTACATGATACTTTACGTGAACATATAAATACAAGTACACCTCCAATATTTGAATATTTGATGCATGGAAAAATCCACAAGAATAGGAGGACCCTTCAACATTCTAAACTACAAAAATATTTTTATTATTTTTCTCTCTCCTTTTGCAATTTATCAATTAAAATTTTGAATTTAGGTTTTAAAGTCAAGAAGACGCAGGATCCAACGGCATTAATTAGTGTGCCCATTTGTTAGTTAGCCTTTGCAAAATGTCAAAATCTCATGCCCTAACAAAATAGAAATACATGTCAATACGGGTCCCACCCAGTACAAGGGCGTTGAAATTAAAACAAAGTCACCCTTTCGTGACAGTTGGCTATATTGATCATTTGTATCAGTACCTATACATGTGTATAATTTTTCTTCAATAAGCGGTGCGATTTAGAAAAACGAATTTAGTCCAATTTCTTTCATTTAATAGCTCATAGTTTATTAACAAAAATTTGACCGCCTATTGTACTGTAGAAGAAAAACGCGTGGTGACAAAGTATACAATCTACTTCTACTAATGAAAACAAGCACAGAAAACGCGTTGTCGGAAAAGTACTGCGGGTTGCTGAAACCAAACCCTCAAAACAGAAGATGGAACAAAGAAAAAAATGCTCCTAAAATCGCATAACACATCCAACAAACTTCGTACCCAAAAAATATATAAAAACGACGTGATAAAAAATTGAGCATAAAACAAAATCTGGGAATTTTTTAAACACGAATGCAATAAAAGCAATGATTCTTGGAATGCGAATACTGTCATAGAGAGTGAAATTAGGAAAACGCATCCGCGGGGAAAGGGAAAAATTATAAAGTATGGTTTCTAAACCCATGAAATTTGGGTTTAGTAAAAAGAAAAGAAAGGGAAGGCATATATAATAAACAATCATTCCATAAAATATTAGGATTAGTTAAATTAAGTATTTTATTGATGATAAAGAAATGAATGAATGGTGAAGGATGAAGCACTAACTAAACTTCCAGAGGCATCTCTTCTTTATGCATTGTAAAGTGACCCAACTTTAAGGTTAATGTATTATAATATAATTTGTCTTTATATAGGTTAGAGGTAAATTATTGGGGACGAAAGAAGTGCCCAATTGGCGAATACATTTAATTATCATAATTAATAATAAAATAAGATGTAGTTTACCTGTTGGTTATGGTGGTGGAGGTGGAGCTGTGGCTGAGGCGGCGGTGGAGGCGATGACAGCGTGGGGCGGACAGAGGGAACAAGAGTAGGACTATGCAACTGTCCAAACGCTGAAAACAAACCTCTCACATGCATCGAATCGCGATCCTGCACACGCACAAAAATTAACTAAAATTGTAACCAAAAAAATAAAATAAAACCATTCTATAATATGCATGCGCACTGGACCATGATCAGGAAATTCGGGTATGAGAAGATGTAGGATGGTAAAGGTGATGTGTGCTTACGGTGATTGGTGGGGTAGAAGAGGGTGATGAGTTGTTATTATGGAGCGTGAGGTGTTGATGATGGTGGTGGTGATTATTGTGAACGGTGGGATCAACATTAACAACGTCGTCAACTAGGTTTCTGGAATCATGGTGGCTTAGAAAGGCAGATTGCTCCAAATTCAGGCCCAGAGGCATCATTCCACCACCTCTGAGAGCAGCGGCAGTTGGAGTTGTGGACCCCAATTGCAGCATTCCAACGTCAGTGGCTACGGTTCTGCCATATCCAACTGGAGCTTCGGGCACTGCTAAGATCTGTTCGAAGAAATCATCTCCCAACCCCTCCGAGCTACTGTTACCTGCCATCTCCAACAACCACCTAGTGTCTGAAATTATTAAGCCACTCCTTTCTTATTCAGGCATTTGCTGTTCCAAAAACAGCAAGAGCGGAAAACGAGGAAGGTTGTTGCCTTGTCTTGTTGCGGTCTGTGAAAATGGTGGATGGTCCGAAGCCCGATTACCCGGGAATGGAATATGGGTTACGGTTTCCGAGAATGTTTTGCGTTTGTGTCTTCTCCCGTGGAATTTGAGGAGTGAGGGAAAAAACAAGAGAAAAAGAGAGAGGATTGGATTTGGCAGTGGTTTGCTTTGGATGGGTCTTTAAATTTCAGAGTTGAAGCTTTTCAGCTTTTGCTTCTTCTGAGTGCTTCTGACCACGCACGGAGTAGAGAAGACAAACCTAGTGCGCTCTGCCTTTATTTACACTAACCCATATATATATATATATATTTACATTAACAAATCAATCTTCATCAATTATCATTCTAAACATTTCTTATATTATTATTAATTCATACTAATAATCTACATTTTATATTGTTATTAATTAAAAATGTTACTCCATACTATTTTTTTTTGTTATAAGATATATAGTATGAAATAACTTTATATAGTCGGTCCATGATTTATAGTCAGGTGTCATTTTAATGTATTTACATATAAAACTAGAAAAAAAATTATATATAAAGATGATAAAAAAATATGGTTCTAATATATTTTTATTACATTTTCTTTCAATAGCTTTTATAAAGTTTGTTTCATTCCATCATTCATTAAGACTTTATATTTCTCACTTTTATCTATTTCTTTATTCAATTATTTTGTAGGGTTTGATCATTTAAATAAAGTTTTTATCTTTTATTCTCTTAAAGAAAAGAAGAAGAAGATATGTGCTTGAAAAAACATGCTAATAGAGAGACGCGTCCACTCACAACAAAAATGTAAGAAAGAATGACCACCATTGTGGACAGATCCAACAGCCTGATCAGTGAGAGCAATTTATTTAAAAGTAATAATAAATGTTACTATCATATAATATATATAAATTTGTATATTTTCATGATATTATCATTTAATAAAGAAATTAATGTGTAATGCAAAATATGGAAGTATAACATATCTATTTATAATTTGAAAGTTGTACCGTATCTATTTATAGAAAGAAAAGTGTCGACACTTTTTAAATATTTATTATATTATAACTTAATGATATATGTAAATTAATTAAATTAATATATAAGGGAAAAAATTAAAGTAATAAAAAATAACTTAATATTAATAGTAAAAAAATATAATACAAAAGTAAAAAGAAGAAACATATAAAAAATTTATATAAAATATTTTAAAATAGTAACTATTTCTAAAAGATTTAAAAATAATTAATTAACAATTATATTATTTTAAAAATTAACTAATAATTATATTATACAAAATAAAATAAAAAAAACTGTGGATATATAAAAGGAGATATCTCTTTATATATAGATATAAATGATGTAGGTTTGTTCGGTCAGCACTAAATAAAAAATGATAATAACGCTTTTTTTTTTTAAATATTTCTGTCTATTAAAATTTGTAAATTAAAAGGAGAAAACTATTAAATAAAATTTTATGTCATCATTTTTTCTGAAAAAGTTTATTTAAAAATATATTATTATTTTTTCTTAAAAAGAAAACACAAACGATAATGGTGCTTGTTACGTGCACGCCCACGCAGGCGCTCTTTTTTCTTCCTTCACTGGATAGAGATTTTGAACCAAACTCACTTTGAGTGTTTTTTTTTAGGATTTATCATTTAATGATTAAAAGTTTGAGGTTTAACTCAAAATTAATGAAAAAAATATTGAAAATTAGTTTAGTATGTAAAGAAGGATAAAAATGTTGTTTACATTAGTTTAATGAAATCTATAATTGAAGTATAATTATGTAGATACAAAAATCTTATATGAAAATGAATGTTGATTGGTGGAGAGTGATATAAAAAGGAAATGAAGTGAGAGTGGTGTACAACGCATCATACTTTTAAAAGAAAGCAGGTCCAATTTCTCACTGTTTTTTTAACCTACTGCCATCTAATTCAAGGATAGGTTATTACTTCAAAAATATTTATCTATATAACTTTTTTTTTACTAATTTATGTAAGTGATAGTTTTAAAAAAATATATATTTCAAGCTATAACTTTATTTTTAGTTTTCATTCTTGTATTTATGTCGTGTTTTGTGATGTCATTTTTTTCAATTTGTGTAGTTTATTCTTTTATAAGAAAAATAAGATAGTATTGTGAATTTAAACACAATTTTAATAATTTTCAGTTTAAACTAAAATTACTGTTATAAACTTTAGTGTTTTTTCAGTTAAATTTATTTTATTTTTTTAATTTAGGTTGAGTTTGATTAAAGCTATTTTGATGTAAATTAAAACTGCTAAAAATTAAAATAATATTTCATTAATTAAATATAATTGTATATTAAAAAGGAGTAAAATACTATAATGTATAACGTATATTCTCTGTATGCACAATTAATGTAACATCACAGATTATATAAAAGCATATAACATAGTAGTCCACATTTGAATGGAAGAGAACAGTTAGAATAGACTGTAAATAAAGTTTGTTAAACGTACAGTCATCCGATAAGGAGTCAGAATTTAAAACTTAAGCATACTAGAGTATTTCAAAAAAATAAGGAATGACTGATAGAATCCTAAGGAGACTAAGCAGCAACATCATCTTTCTCCAAAGCCTGCTCCAGAGGCACCTCATCCATCTCTGCTCACATCCAAGTGGATGATCATTGCAAAAGAAAGCATACCCAAGCAAACACAAACACACAAGCAAGGGTGAGCTAGATATAAAATCATGTTATAACAGTCATAGGCAACATGCAAGTTAAGACGAATATACTATACTATACAAACATGACTTGTTGCACTTAAACTTGACTCGTCCGGACTTAGAATGATTGCCGAGCTATGGCGGGTTATGCACTCGTGGTGGCTTCTACTATTTTGCAAAGTCATTGCCAATGGGTTTCACCCTCCCACACTCACGAGGTTAGTCCGTTATCACTCACTTTTGGCCATACTTGAAGCATCCAAGATTAGGACCTCCTGCTACTCCTCACCACATTGATCAATCCTCTCTATTTGAGAATGAAATTCCATTGGAGCGTCAGGAAAACCCCCAAGACTGAGCTACCATGCAAATCATTCTAAACGCACTGAAAGGGCACCACCATGTATCCCCCTTGAGGATCATGGAATTACATCCAATACTAATACTTTCCACTTTAACACCAACATGTTAATGCATACATAAACCATTAAAGCAACTGGAACAATTAAGTAAAATAACATACTGGAATAAATAGGAATATAGGCCGAACATAAAACATCAACACATAATGGGCAAGGCCGAACCCCCTATGAATGGTGGAGACCGAACGGTATCTTACTTCCCCAAAGGACAGGACCGAACGGTCCATAAATGGTAAGATTGAAGAGTGACCGAACACTATTCAGGACCGCTCACTAAGAGAGACCGAACGCTACCTGCGACCGAACGCTACTTAAGAGACCGTACGCTACTTAAGAGACCGTCCACTAAGACCGAATGCTACCAAGACCACCCACTAAGACCGTACGCTACTTAAGAGACCATCCACTAAGACCGAACGCTGCCAAGACCACCCACTAAGACCGTACGCTACTTAAGAGACCAAACTCTCCTTAAGAGACTGAACGCTACCTGAGAGACCATCCACTAAGATCGAACGCTACCAAGACCGAGCACTAAGGCTGAACTCTACTTAAGACCGAGCACTAAGACCGAACGCTAACAAGATCGAGGACTATGAAGAGATAAACTACCTTGTTGAGAGAAATAAATCATGTATAGATGTATAATTTTCAAATGTATACTAAAAAATTATAAATTTGATGTCCAAAAGCTAACAATTCCAAACTTGATGGATGAAAATGAAACAACATAGTCTGATTAAACGGTAGATGGTGTAATTATAGAAAATTTCACGCTTTGTAACTTCTTTCCTCTCATTCTTTAGTTTTGTTCTTCTTACAATTTACCAATAGACACATTTGTTAATGTTGCGTAAATTGAAAAACATTTATAACGAGTTTTAGTTTCATCCAATTTGAAAAAAATTATTAGTCTTTTTATTTACGTCAAAATTTTATTTTCAATTCTAATATGCATGATAAAAAATAATAAAATATTACTTAAATTTATAATGAAATGAATGAATAAACTCCAAATAAGTAAAAAACAATCTTTTTTATTCAAATAAAAGATATTAATTGTAAGGACATGAAAATATATGGCAGTTGGACCTTATGTTGAAGCAGCCAGACCCATAACACTAGGGCACTATAACCTTAGGAGGGACTTTCCAGATCTGAGTTCATTATCTCAGCTTCCCATTCTCTCTCTAAAAAGCTTGTTCCTCCATTTCTTCTGCCTTCTCTCTACCATTCCCTCATGTTTAGTGGTTGCATGTTGGATTAGGTGGTGCTCAAGTGACCGAGGCGTAGAGGCCTTTGCAACCATCCGAATAGATTTTCATTCTTCAGCGGGTAAGTAGCTCTTCACTGTTCTCCGCCTATTTGGGACCTAGGGCAAGTTGCATCTGCCTAATGTACCCTCCTCTACGTTTTCCTCCGTTCATTCTAGCTCTAAGAGCTGTTCTTGATCACCACATTGCGGGTTGTAGGGTGTTGTCTAGATTATTCGCGTGTGGGGTACTGGAGCTGCGGGTCTTTGAGTTGAGCAAAGAAGTTTCAAGGTAAGGGGAGCTAGAAGGTTTCTTTAATTGGTTGCATGAACTGTATGTTGAGTTTTGTACTGATGTACTGTTGATATTGTGTTTTGATATGGAAAGACTTAGTTGCATGTGTTGGGTTGAATGACTATGAAATTGGATTGTGATGTATGTAAACTGTTTTGAGATGTATTTAAATTCTATAATTTCTATGTTGATGCGTTTGGGCTGAGAGACATGTTGTAACAGTGAAGGGACGGAAAAATTGATATTCTGCAAGGGTTTTGGGTCACTTGAGAGGAAGTGAGGTAGTGATTTTAGGAAGTAAGGGTTCTGGGCACATTTGGGTTGTTGAACATCTTAGGCAAGTCATTTGTGACCTGTTAGGATCATAAAACTGGACTAGAATATGTTAGAAGTGGTAAAATCGAAATTGGGTCCTTAAGTTGAGGAAATTGATGTTTCAAAGACAAAACTTGATCTTAATCACTTTAGAATGGTAGTAGGAATGTTCAGAATCATTTAGATGAGTTTAATTAAGTATAAAACAAGAATTCAAGGTGTTAAAAGTTAGTAAAAATGGTTAGGAATGGTTGTGTTAGGTGTTGTTCATAATTCTGCAGAAAT